TCCGGTCAGGAGTGCGATGGGACTAATTGGATCTTTACCCGACGTGACCCCGCCTTTTATATTTTAACAAAAAATTGGGTAATAGTAAATGTTTTATAATTTTGTTAATTTTCACAAATTTTTCCTTAATATAGTAAAAAATAAAAACCCCAGTGGTGATTAAATGCCTCCAAAAGAAAACTCTATCTGTCCCCAAAAAATGGTATAAAATTAATTTCAGTACAGCGCTGCATGACGGAATACATGTCAGTCAAAGTACCGCAGAGCTGAATACTGAAAAATGGCCTGGATGGGAAGGGGGTTTAACACCGAAGACTTCAAGTGGTTAAATGTTGGTACAAAAGGAGAAAGTACAAGGGCCAATTCTATGTTTTGTTAATCTCGCATCACCAATAAAGACATCTGAGGACAGAACAGTGTTTAGATGGCACTAGCAAACAAACAACTAGAAGCCTTTTTTTCGAGGTGTGGAAGTCAGCTGTAGCTATGGATCATATAAATGTCATCTTATCTATATTTATCTATAACTATATGCCTTCCTAAACTCTTATTGAAATATGGATAATTGCACATTTTGCTGGCAGCGAGATAGGAGAGAGGTCTGATAGCAGTGCTGGCTGTCCTGGAAATGTCGGTTGTGAAGGATTTTGTGTGTTTATCAATGATGAAGACATTTACCACACCCAATATCCTTTTCCAAATGAATGCAAGCCAGGGATGGCAGCATCTGGTTTGGATGCAATCATCTGTGGGATCAACAATATTTGTTAGGGCCACAGGGAGTCCAAATAAGCCAAGAACATGCTTGCAGGCCATTTCCATTGATGCAATTTAAGTCTGTGGCTGGAATGAATAAGCCATCCTATTAATCAGTCTGTAGTGACTTCTGTTACTGCTACTGATTTTGATGGTAGCAATAATACACTGCGAGCAGAGAGGAAACAAAGGGAAAATATTGCTTCTTGTTCCAAAAATGATAAGTTGGCTGCTTGTGGCCTGATATATTGCTCTGAGATCTCACCATACTTAAAATAACTTAAGTCAAGAAAAGAGAACAATGAGGCAATTCCAATGTAGGACCTGCGAAAGTAGAACAGACTTTTTTAGAATGGCCTGGATGGTGGTTTATGAGTATGTGAACCACCAAAGTTGGTATGTTACAAAAGAAAGGAAGTTGCACGAGGTTCCCAAACTCCAGGGCAACAACTATGCTGTTATCTTAGGCCATGTACGTATATAGGATGTTGATCAGAACCACTAACTTATATCATGGTTTGTTTTTCTTTATATGTGCATGTTTATTTTTGTTTTTCATTTTATGTACTACTTATTCCTGACCAGACATGATAAATCCACTACAAGAGAGAAAGATTTCAGCAGATATAAAATGGATTATCCAAAGAAAGGACTATGTTTGATTATAAACATGGAAACATTTCATCCTAGTAAGTAATCAGTAATATTTTGAATGCATTCAAATCACACTATAATGGCATTTGTGTTATTTCAGTTGATACCGTTATCTAATTAGGAACATTAGAAGAGTGATGAGGGTAATTTGTAGACAACACTCAACTCACCTTTGTGTCCCAAGCCCTGCTGTATGGCAGAAGAAGGATCCTTCTATGGAACAATCACCTAAAGCAGGGGTCAAAATTTCAAGTCCTGAGCTACTAGCCAGGCCTTAAGAGTTACTCGCCACTAGTTGCCCACCTAACCCCTACCCTCCCGTGGCCTTAACTCCGCCCCTAAACTCACCCTCTTAAATAATCTTATCAATGAGACTGAGACCACAATGTAAAATAATACAAGGAATTGTGATTAGTAAGGTCTGCAGACCTTACTAATCACTTTGTTTTGGACCAGGAGCTCAGTGAAGAGCTCCGGCCAAAAGGAAGGGAGACAGACCAGCAGGAGCAGCTGCTCCCACGAGTCAGGTACGCGATCTGCGACCGCAAGCCTGACAGGAATTTCCACTCGCCTGCACTGCATTTCCACTCCCCAAATGCGAGCAGGCGAGTGGAAATGTTGAGCCCTGACCTAAAGTCTAGCAGCCCCACGTTCACCACCTTTGCTAAAACTTTGCTACATTCTCAGGCCTTGTTCACACCAAGCGCGTTCCAGGAGCAGAGCAGTTACAGACCGGAGCAAAACTGCGTCCAATGTATTCCAATGGTATTTTTAGCTCCAGTTCACATCGCGGCGTTCCGTTCCACAGCAGGTCAAGAGCAGGTAAAAAAACTGCAGCAGGCCCTATTTTACTTGCTCTGGAGCGCATGCAAACGCATCAAAAACGCATGCAAACGCCCTGGAACGCACTGAAAGCCCATTTTAAACAAAAAAAATATTATTATTTTTTCCTGTTACCAAAAATGTATCTTATTTGTGTATCACTCGGCTGTAGATCTGGGCCTGTTCACATGATTTTCAGGTCCTGATCAGGTCCGGATCAGGTGCGGATCTGCAGACGCGGTGCTACTCATGCAGTGCGTTTTTGATGCGTTATTCATGCGTTTTCGGTCCGGATGCTGACAGTTCTACATGCAGCATATTAACCCCCACATATGACAAACTTTATTTGGATTACATGACCATCATACAGTGGATAACATGACCAGCATACAGTGGCTAACATGACCAGCATACAGTTAGTCAACATACAAGATATGTGTAATCACTCACCACAGTCTTTCTTCTGGGCAGTAATGTACACTGAGTATTCATCATACAGCTCTGATGCTATATCTATCCACTTTTTATTTTTTTGTCGACATTTTTAAACTGTCTGTGGCGGGGGTCGTAGAGCATTGGCGCATGGTTCATCAATCCGACGAATCGCTCAATGTCCAGGACCATGTTAGTCATGACTGCTGGGTTTCCCTCTGATGCTCCACCACAACCAGGAAGTCCAACAATGATAACATCATAAAAAGTGGAGCAAGAATACATTTTTAATTTTTTTTGCCTAGCTGCATTGCGCTCCGTTTGCGTTTTTGACGCGTTCGTGCGTTTCCTGACCGGATAAAATGTGACATGCAGTATTTTTTCAGTCAGGAACGGACTGCGCACGTGAGAGCTGTAGCCCATAAAACACATAGGGATACATTGGGATGCATATTTAGTGCAGGAGCGTACGGATCAGGTCAGCACAGAATATGGACGTCGTCTGAACAGGCCCTTAAATCATCTCTGAATTGGTGCTGACACTAGACACGTGTGATTCGCTTCATTCTGAATAGAAATTCGGACAAATATTAGCAAATTTGGACATTCAGATGCAACCGAATTTTCGAATGTATACAAATTTTCCGATAACGAAAATTTTGAATGCATCCAAAATGTTTTTTCTAATGTCATTCTGAATGAATTTATGTTGTTAAATGTTGAAAAAACAAAACAAACCTTTTCGGTTTGGTAGGACTTTCAGGGGGGACCCCAACACCAAAAAAACAAAAAAAAATTGCTTTGCCATGGGGGACCATGTCGATGAGGACAAGGGCCTCTTCCTCACAACCCTGGCCTGGTAAATGTAGGGGTCTGCAGGCACTGGAGCTTATAGGAATCTGGGTGCCCCCTTTCATAAAGGGAGCACCCAGATGCCGTCCCGCCCCCTAGGCTTAGTTGTTATCCCTACTCATTCACCAAATACAGCAATATTGTAAATAAACACACCACACATTACAAATAAACTGTTTTTGGCAATTCCTTTATTTAAAAAAAACAAGAAACTGTCCATGATGTATTCCACTGGTCAATCACGTCGTCTAGCAATGTAGATCCATGTCAATCACAATGGACGATGGCTACTGACTGGCCGAAAGAAAAAATACCCGACGCCCGGCGTCACGACCGGTCCTAGCAAGCTCTCGCCATAAAATGACAGCTCTGACCCGAATGTCAGCAAAGGGAACTGAAACTGAAAGCCCATTTTAAATGTACCAAAAATGGCACGGAACGCATCAAAAACGCGGCACAACCCACTGCACTGCGTGTGCAGAAACTCATGCAGATCTGATCTGCATTTGGTGTGGACAAGGCCTTACCTTTGCAGTCTCTTGGTTGAGATTTCCCCTGTAATATTGCTGTCACAGTCTACTGTCATTAGTGTACGTACTTGTGATTGTTTTGGTCTCTAATGATGTCAAATGAGCAGTGTTGTGTCAAAAAAGAAACTCACCAGTGCCGGATCAAATGGAGGTTGTACATAAAGGAGATTGTGCAGATCTCCAGGATTTTCAAAAGCTAACTCTTGCATTGGGGCTACCCCTGCACTGCAAGGGTTAACTGCTCATTTTGGTCTAAGGAACAGAATAAAAAAGACACACTCACCCGATCCTCGATCCTGAGGCAGTGACTGCTCACTACACTCAAGCTGTGGTATGTCCCTCGGCATCCTTATGTCTAATGCAAGTGAATGAACCTTGCATAGATTTGAGGAGGTCAGGGAGGCTTAGACCGCTAGAGCCTGGGGGAAAAGAGGCTGCGGGGACTGATCTTGCAGCCAGGCGGGATTGAGGATTAGGTAACTATATTTTTTTTATTTGCAACCCTAGACCAAAACTAGCAGTTAACCCTTGCAGCGCGGGGTTAGTCCCACTGCAATAGTTAACTTTTGAAAATCCTAGCGTTCCTCTTGAAGGTAAATCTGTGGCCAGATTATGCACATTTAGGTAGTAACATTTTCTGAATAAGCAGTAAAAGTACTTTAAAGCAAGCCCCCCATTCATCTCTGCAGCATTGTGGAGAAATTAATCTTCAAATTCAACAACAGAGATACTAAAAATCATAGCTCCTTTCCCTTCCCTTCCATGGAGAGCAGAATCTTAGCAGCCTGTCAGACATCTAATGTAAACAAAAAGCTGCTTGTAAGCTGCTTGAAACCCACTAAAACCTAGTCTCCCAAGAGTATATACTTATACACAGTATATGCAGCTAGAGAAGTCAGGGATGACTTGATTGAAAGCTGTTTTACTGCTTAATAGAAATATGCAACTATTTTAATGTCCATAGTCTGGGACTTTGGTGGAATTGTACAGCAGACTCCTGGCTGTAATGTAGAAGTGAGCTGCCCAATCACTTCCACAGGGTGGTGATTTGTTTCCCTTCCCGCATCTGACACCCCCACAAGGTCCTGAGGCTCTTCGGCAGTGCCTGGGACCGGCACAGATTGCTCAGGATGGCTGGCGGAGGAGGACTGTTGAATATCTATTCACCAATCCCCCCTATGTGGAGTGAACCCAGAAGCTCATAAAGTTTGTTTTTCCTTTTTATTTTGATAGAGTAGGGAAGGGTTAAAACCTCTGGCAGGTATTACTGCTGACTGTGCCTCTAATTTCATACCTGGTGGACCACATTGGAGACAAATTAATCTTCCCAATGTCCTACTTGGGAAGATTCTGCTCACTTCCACAGATGAAGTGAGGATAAATATCAGTGGAGATGCAGACAGCAATAAAACAGAAACTGCAACCTTTTCCCACTCTAACCAAAGCCAAAGTTTTACCTGGACTTCTACATTATGTTAATTTTTGATTGATTTCCCGATATTAACTTTAACTTTAGACGGTAATATTGTTAATTTTTATAATTCAGAACCAAAGGTTTACGATTTACAATACTTCTTCAGCAGCAAGGATAATTGTTTTTATGTTTGTTACTTTTATAAGCACTAAAGCAAACACAAAGGTCGGGAACCCAAAAAGATGCGGATTCACTCAAAAAAGTATTTGAAAGTATTGGATTCCAAGTACAGATTGAGAAAGATGCCCCATCTGACAAAATAAGTAAAGTACTAAAAAGAGGTCAGTGTTACCACTTAGCATTAGTCCTGTTATGTGTACAAATGTTTCTGAGAATGTAAGAAATGCTGATTTACTAAAGGACTTGAGAAAGTTCACACAATAAAAAGGTGTGACAGTTATCCAATCACATGCAAATGACATACATAAACAGGAATTGGATAATTCAGCTGGATAACTGAAGTTAATCCTTATATAACTAATTTTGTGAGAACATTCTCAAATTATTTAGTAAATCAGCCTCAATATCTATAATGCCCATCAAGCAAAAAAAATAAAATAAAGCTTATTATGGATTCTTTCAACCACATATACAAGACAGTGGTATAATATTATAGAAACAAAGTCGGATTTCTTTAAAGCAAAGCTGATAAGTTTCTCAAACTGTGACATCAAATCATCATTGGGAAGACGCACTCTGACATTGTGTGAGGAATATAAAGTACTACTTTGCAACCTTACTCAATAAAAGCCTACCTTCAGCCATAATGATCTACTTTTAGCTTTGGTATTAAAAAAAAAAAAAAACACCCAATGCCTCTTCCTGCAGTCCAAAAAAACCCCTATGTTGGTAGATTTATAATACTGTTAATTTGGGGTGTATACTAAGACTATTACAACATTAAAACATTGTTGATCTCTTAAATTAACACATCTCATATGACCAGTAATTCATTAGAATTGAATTAAAAGCATTTTGTTGAAAACAATGTAAACTTTTGCAGGGCCCTACAACTAGAACAGAGGTGCTAATTAGGTCGATTGCAATCTACCAGTAGCTCACAAAGCTAACGCTGGTAGATTGTGTTCATAAGTCGACTCACCATCCTGAGGACCCTCCCATGGTCTTTTTAGCCCCTCCCTGCCTGCAGCATGTGACACATTCGGCTGCACTAGCACCACGGGAGAACAGGACAGTGTGCGTGAAGAGTCAGGAAGCTAGACCCTGTATTTCTCCTCCTTTCGTGCCCAGCCCTTCATCCAATTGCCACTGCTCTCATGTTGTCACCTGCTGTTTTCATGTGTCAGACACAGCAGACGGGGAGGGGCTAAACAGTGACCGATGGCTGGTTATGGCCTTAATCATTCCAAAAGGCCCCTTTATTCCATTTTAGTATATTTATTTAGCTATGCACACATCTTCGGACAGGAGCGAGAAGCGGAGCCAGAGGTAAGTAAAACCCTTTTTGGTAACTTTTATATATTTTGTATTATGTTTTTGCATATCAAGCAGTAGATATATGCAAAAAAGAGAGAGTTTAATTATACTTTAAGAGAAAAAGTAAAATAGAAGTAATCTTCCACTGCAGGGCCTTCTTTCTGAATGGGAAGAGCACAGTAGGAACGAATATAGGACAATTGCGCAATTTAATAGAATTGTGGGAGGAAGGACACACAGAAGAAGATGATGATATAGTCAAGGATTTAAAAGAAAGAGACAAAAGACTAAAATGTAAAATGTGCAAGAGTAAAACTATGACATTTCCCTCTCTGCTACAACATCCAATTGTGACTCTCTTTGTTAAGAGGGTTACACAGGATGTAAGACATCTTCAGATTTCTAAAAATAATTGGTGACAACTTAACTACCAAATAAAGAAGTGCTTTAAATAAACTTCCCAAAAATAAGCTTGTAGTCATTAAACCTTCTGACCATGTTTTTCAATGTTGTATTGAGTACCTAACAATATGAAAATATCCTGTACCAGATTCTGAACAATCAGGCATGGCTGGGTTCACACCTAGGCGTATTGCAAAAGCGCGTCTGTCGCGCGGTTTTTTTACCGTCGCGCGATTCCAAAGGCTACTTGGCTGTATCCCAATGGAAAACGCCCTACAAAACGGCCCAAAGTAGTCCCGGGACCTTTTCAGGCATGGGCCGTTTTGTAGGGCGTTAGGGACGGCCGTAAATACGCCTAGGTGGGAACGAGGGCATTGACTACAATGCTATTTATTTTTTTGACCGTTTTGTAGAGCGTTCGTCGAGCGTAGGACGCGCTACAAAACGGTCAGGTGTGAACAAGGCAAGACCTATACTGCAGGAATGCTTACTCAGATAAGATCTTTTTTGTACTTATTGATGTAGCACTACATAGGAGACTTATACAGTAGATGAGGATACAGCTGATTCTCCAAAAGTGCAATTCCTCAAACTACAGTGACCTATGCACTACCCAAATCCATAACAATTAAAAAATTCCACCAGGGAGACCCTTTATTTCAAGATGACACAGTGTAATGGAGATGAAAAGCTTTTTTTTAATGCAATATTAAAACCTCATGTGAAAATGTTACTTTTATTTATAAAGGACATTCCCCACATGATACAAATACCTGAGGCATTAGAGGTTCCCCCTGGTACCCCCATTGGTAGGGAGTAAATGAGTAGGCTCTTTATGTGTCAATACCACATGATGAAAAAACTGTCTGGGGTGTTGGGGTAAGTTTTGATTCAAATAATTAACCCGGTCTATACTGTGCTGGCAGATATTATTATCACTTGTAAAGTAGATGAGCCGGACTGTCTGTCCTAACAAAGGGTTAAAGACACGGAGAAGAGTATATCAAAACTGGAGCAGACAAAATCTGGAGCAGGTGTGCATGGCAACCAATCATATTCTATGTTTTATTTCAAAGCTTAACTGATTACACTGAAGAGAGAAGCTGATTGGTTATTATGGGTAACTGCTCCAGATTCTGATACATTTTCCCCATTGCATGTGAGGAGATGCTCAGTCTATTAGGAAAAACAGAGTTTGCTGTTAATAAAATTTAGATAGAAATGTGCAAAGGCCTGCAAAATAGAGATATCTAAAAGATACAAAATATATATTTAATTTTTGTTAGATATGCTGTAAACACATAACAAACACATAGTCAGGTTTTCTAAATTTTGACTGTAAAAGTCGAAAATACACTTTAGGAACAAATCCCAATACCTGTTGATGCAAGCCCAGGCTGGAACCAAGAAAAATTGCATGCATTATATGATGTACATCAATAGTGAATAAATGTGAATAAATATCCCATCTAAATACTGGGACTTAGGCTACATTTTAAAAGGGAGCTGTAATGTTGTGCTCTTTCTAGATGTTTAAAATACATTTCAAATTGTTCAAGATAGTACATGTATATTCATCATAGTCTAGGTCAGGGGTGCCCACAATTTTTGGTGTTGAGATCTACTTTTCAAATGATGAGCTCAATGAGATCTACCAACGAAAAAGAAACCTCTCTCGCTCTCTCTCCTTGCTCATCCTCTTGGCTGTCTCTCTTCGCTCTCTTGGCTGTCTCTCCTCTCTCCCCCCTGGCTGTCTCTCCTCTCTCTCGCCTGGCAGTCTCTCCTCTCTCCCCCCTGGCTGTCTCTCCTCTCTCCCCCTTTGTCTCTCCTCTCTCTCCCTTGGCTGTCTCCTCTCTCTCTCTCTCTCTCTCCTGGCTGTCACTCCTCTCTCTCTCCTGGCTGTCACTCCTCTCTTTGCTGGCTGTCTCTCCTGGCTCTCTCCTCTCTCTCCCCTGACTGTCTCTCCCTTGGCTGTCTCCTCTCTCTCTCCTGGCTCTCACTCCTCTCTCTTTGCTGGCTGCCTCTCCTTGCTCTCTCTCCTGGCTGTCTTTCCTCTCTCTCCCCTGGCTGTCTCTCCTCTCTCTCCCTTGGCTGTCTCCTCTCACTCTCCTGGCTGTCACTCCTCTCTCTTTGCTGGCTGTCTCTCCTCGCTCTCTCCCCTGGCTGCCGTTCCTCTTGCTCCTGGCTTACCCTGCTGTATTATGCAAACAGTGCAGTGAAACAGGCTGTGTAAACTAATATTCTTTGATGTAATACATAGCACTTCAACCACCAGTATCCACCAGAAAGGTGTCAGGGAGCTTGGCTTAGTAGGCTGGGCACACACCTTACAACCATCACAAGACTTTTGTCTTGCGATGGTTGTAAGGTACTTTAAAAAAACGTACGATCTGCCTATGTTGCATAGGCAGATCGTACTTGCGATGATCGCAAGCCACGCCCCCTGAGGGCTTGCGCACACCGGCCCGTACGGCTTTCATCGTACGGACATGCCACAAACCCGCCGAACGTCGTACGATGCTCGGCGGGTTTTCGAACATGTCCGTAAATTTAAAGTCGTGCGACCTTAAAGTAGTAGAGGTCGCACGGCTTCCACACACCTTACGATAATCGTACGATCGCGGGATTTCCCGCGATTATCGTACGATTATCGTAAGGTGTGTGGGGACCTGTAGACTCAGGCTATTAGGTAATCAAAAATCTGGAGCAGCTGTGCATGGCAACCAATGGCAACCAATCAGATTCTATGTTTCTTTCCTCCCACCGATAAACTTTTGCTTTTGTGTAAGCTGTACTATCTTTCAATTTTGTCATTCTTAACTTTCATCAAACCTCTGTTAACGCATCAGTTTGTACAGTACATCCGGATCTTTAATTGTTCAGAATTTGAGATTCTTCAAATTTCACTGTTCATCTGAGCTGGGCCGTCCCTATAATGAGGCAGCCTAAGGCTGCTGCCTCAGACGGCATCTCTTTGGGTCATGTAGGGGGGTGGCAGCTCTGTTGCACAATGTTTGCAGTGTGCCTGCTGCCCCCCCTTTTCAGCCAGGGCATCACAGGTTCCTAAAAGCCGGGCGGGGAGATGTGTAAGGGTCATGTCACTGGTCGCCAGGAGCTGAGCAGAATGCTCTGTCTGGCATCCTGCCCAACTCCTGGCAACCAGTGATGTCATTGAGCTGGGCAGTGAGATGATCCAAAGAAAGAAAGGGAGACAGAATATGAATTGAATCATGACATGAGAATAGTAGCCATATTGTATGTCACCTCTGATCACATTTTTTTTAATTGTACTCAATATAATGAAAATTGAGAACCATAAGCTGTTCCAGGTGGATGTCTGTTCTCTTTTTTGTGTAACCTATATATGTTTTAGTGTATTTCTTTTTGTAAAAATGTTAAATAAGAATATATAAAAAAAAGAGAATTCA